TTGCAACAAAACCGCTCAGCTCCATCCCTTTGTTTATATCTCTTATTCTGGTTCATTTTTATTTCACGGATGTTTAGCAATAAAAAAGTCCATCTAGAAAGTTAATGCACTGATACAGACTTAACATAAATACAGCATGCATTGTCTGCTAAACTTGCACTATGATGAAAACAGCTGCCAGCTACTAACAATGAATAAAGAATCAGTTCTGATCAGACATCAAGCTCCAAAACAAGTTGCTGGGAGGATCAGCACTATCAAGAGCTTCTGTGCAGCTCACTAGTTGACGTTGCAGCTGAAACATCTCTTAATGGTACTAAGCCTCAGACAGACACAGAAAAGTAACAGTCAGTAAGACATCACTATGTCACACTAGGGCAGCTCAAAATCACCTCCTCCTCATGAAAGAGCAGATTACAACCAAATGTCACGCTGCAGTATATTTATAGTTTTCTGGCATTCCCTTTGATACAGCAGGTCTCTGCTCTCCTCCCTCACCAGCAGCAGGCAGAGTCTGTCTCTCTCCAGCACTTGGCTTGCCCAAACAGGAGGGCAGCTGGCAGCCAGGCTGAGCCTGCCTGAGCACTCCAGTGAAAACTGCACAATCCCACAGATCTACCCCTGTAGATCGTTTCCATAAATTACACTAATACATTTTAAACACCAAAACCACTTTCCATGTTCCCACATTCTTAACATTCAGCATTTAAAGACAGAACAGAACTCTAGGTTCCAACAACAGACCTGCCACTAAGTTTTATACTCAATGAAGCTCAATTTTTTTGACCTTAAATTGTAAAGTGCAAGGCAGAAAACAATTTCTCTCTATTATGTCTATTTTCAGGAAGGGGGCACAGTTCTCACAGGACTGTGTGGGGATTATCCAACATCTGTAAAATTTGTTATTCTCAAATTGCTTTAAGCAATTTCATTAACATGGAGTCAGTTAAATATGGGCAGATCAGCAGAGATACCTGACCACCGCTTTTATAAGATGTTTTTTTATTTCAAAATTAAATCTTGCAGTAAGATAAAAGTATTAAGGCATGACTAGTCAAGACTCCTGTGTGCACTGCAAGTTATTGTGTAACTAATTCCAATACATAAAGAAATGCATTATATAGACAATAAAAATCTACAGGTAATACATTACTGTCTTGTTTCAGAGACATGAGGAAAAAACAGTTCATGTTCCGTGATTTTTTGTAGCTGCTTCTATACATTATGACAATACAATCTGTAGGGGTAATTTTTTTATAAACACAAAGACTGTAAAACACAAGTAGATGGCATGGCTACTCTGTGGTTTTTAATTGCTATGAAATCGACTGGATCCCATCTGGCTCTGAAGGGCGTATGTATGCTTTCTAAAAGTCTTTAAATTTTATACAAATACTGAACCTCAGAAAACTACTTAGAATATACCATAATTAAATTACATATAATTTCTTTGGTCTCAACTAAGATGGATCCATCTCTTACAAGTCACTGTGCAATATACTGGAATGTAAGATAAGGCTGATAATGTATTTATTGCCTTTCACATCCTCTCAACATTCTGATTTAAACCTCACTTGTCTTTACTTGTATTATGGAGGAAGTGCAGCTCTCATTAAATACAAAATCCCACCGGAAAAAAAAAACCAAAACTGGTCACATAAGAAAGTCACTAGAAATTGCACAAACCATAATCAGTCACACTTCTCTCTTATTATTACACTACTCAGCACAGTAAAGTGAGTAAGCCATGAGTCAGTACCTATCCTCCTCAAAAACAAACTTACATTACTTTTACGGCAATGGGCCTATAATGCTTAGTCCCAGGGTTTCTGCAATGAGATCAAAACTGACAGGAGACTGCCAGAGTAAGTGGTGAGGGAAACTGTTACAGCTAAATACCTCTGTACAAAATGAATTATTACTATTTAATGGTGGTCCAAATTTATTTTACATTAAGGCCTCTTTAATCCATTTTGTAAGTAACAGGTATAGATCCTCAAGGACCTATTATTCTGCCAGAGCAGTGTATGAAAAGCTGAGTGTACACAAGATTCAAGCACAAGAAGTACCTGATAAGGAATCTTCATCTTGACCATCTTATTTCACTTTTATTTTTATTGCTTGAAAATGTTTGTCTTTCTGAGTCATTTTACAGTTACTTTGGCTTCTGACTACCACTAAGAAATTATTTCAAATAAATCTTGTTTGTTTTGCTTTGTATTATCATATTGCTATTCAGACACTGGGTCTGGAAAACTTTGTCAACTTCTTGTTTGATTTGGTTTTATCGAAGTGTAAATGTGGTGAAGTTGCAGAGTCTATCCAGCTTCCTTTTTTAGTCTCCATCCTTAGAACAAATTAAAAATCATCTATTGCTCTGAAACAGGTCAAAGAACAAGTTCAGCACGAATGCAGCTGTAAGATTTTTTTGTGTGCATGCTACATGCTTCTACTAAAAAAATTGCCCTTCTGAACCCTCCTATGCCCATGACCTCTAAATCACTTTCACTTCGGAATAATCTTGAACTTTTTATTTTGTATTTTTTATTAGTACATCTCCCATTACAAAAATGAGCCAACACAGCAAAACACCTAAGTTGCAGGCAAGCCAGCTCCCATACGCACTGAGGCTCAAATCTTGAACATTGTTATGCCTACATGAAACACAAAATCCCTCTCAGGTAAGGATCAAGATCTTGTTTAATGCAAAACCATGATTTTGATAGCAGTTTCTTACTCTTTAATATATAAATATTAAATAATTAAGTCTCAAAGGTACCTCAGTCACAAATCACCTACAATCTCTGTGTTCTTCTACTACTGTCCTATTTTATATGCAGTTTTGCTATCCCCAGCTCCAAGGCTTGGCTCAATGCTCACAGATGACTTGCTCCACTTCCATATGTTCTTTGGTCTTCCGAGATGACTGGGCTTTGGGATCCCAAAACAATTAATATCAGCCTCTGTAGACAGCAATATTTACTCCTTATTTATATAGAATTTAACTTTGATTCTTAAAACTTACATTTTTCTTTCTTTCAGGTTCCTTTGCTCCCTGTTCAGGCTGTGAGATATCATCAGGAGGTACTGTTAAGCGTAACCTACAGACATTCATCTGAAAGAAAAACAAAGGTTTGCTTTTAGTTTTAAGTATTACAAAAAACATTTTAATAACTTACTTCACAGAATAAACTGTACTAACATTCAAGTTTTAATTTACTATTTTCTACCTTCTGTTACACAGCCAAGAAAAGATTACTTTTTAAAGGCTGGAGAGGTTTTTAGTCAGCAAGAAATAATTCAAGGGCATCCTCTTAATTACATACCTGAAATAGCAAAAATCCATTTCAATCAACAACATGTTTTTATGTACTCACAAATGGCATCAAGAGCTGAGATAACAGAACAAAGAACATCGTTTTCTAGTTTCTTAGTTTTGTTTGCAGATTTGGCATTCTTTCAATCTTCAAAAGGGATAATTTAGAAACCCAACGTGTATTCTGGAGTGAATGCTTCTTTTCTGTTCAGTATATAATCCAAATATTTGATCCAAGGATATTTCAGTGCTGCAATTCCACCGAATGTGAATAGGAACAGTAATGAAATCCAATACATAGAAGTTGTTTCTAAAAACTAAGCTTCAAAATGCCTCAGAGCATTGTGTCCTACCCAATTTCTGAAAAGCCATTCTCTTGCTGAGGAAACAGGCCAGTAGGGTTGATACCTTACTACCACCAAGTCGCTTTTGGCTGAGAGATCTTTAATGTAACATTTTTTAAGTAATGCATTTCATACAAGAAACTTGGTTAAAACTTTCAGTCTCAGTCCTATTCTGAGACGTTTTTGTGAAAAACAACTAAAAGTCATAAACAGACCATAGCAAAGGATGAAATGAGAAATTTGTCTGTCCAAATTTGAAACTACAGAACACCTGCTCATGAAATCCCAGCTGTCTGTACCACAAACAGGGCTCTTAAAGCTCTTCCTCAAAATGTTTAAAATACCTCTTTCAGGATTACTGTTGGCCATCATCACTGTTCTTCTATAGCCTAGCATCTCATCTGATCTAGATCTCTCTAGTTTCTCCTAACTACTTATCCCCAGTCATGCTGAATGTATACCTTCTCCCTGAAATATACCCCTCCACTGCCCTTGCCCAAGTACACAGCTCACATTTTGGTCATTTTGCCTTGAAAATGGCAGTCGGATTCCGCTCGGAATACAGACATTCAGAGCACAGCAAAGTCCTTTTCATAGACCCCAGATGTTACCATTTTATAATTCACTTCTTCCAGCTGTCTCTCACATCAATTAAGCTAACTTGACTTCACTTTCAAGGCTCTTTACAACACAACCTTCTCAGCCCTCCACTGCCACTGAGCATCATGACAAGGATTCCCTCTTCCCTATTTCCAAACAAGGGACCCTTTTCAACTTTCCAAGCAAGCTTTAACTTCTTCTTCTTCTGCAAATACCTGCCAGCAACTTTACTATTTTTCTTCCAGCCTTTCTTTAAATGTGTTGAGACAACAAATCAGCAGTGTTTCCACTACTGATATGTTTTCAACTGTATTAAAAAATGCTACTTTGTATTGCCTTCAATCTTCCTCTCTGTTTAGTCTTTTAGGTCTGCAAGGCCTTCTACCAATAAGGAACAGTGTCTTGAGATACAGATAAAACTTCTACAGAATATGTGATCTGTGTCTGTATTATAAAGCAAAAAAGAAAAAAGAAAAAAGGGTCTAATAAAATCAAAGCCTACTCTTTAGACAAATTTGTGGAGGCTACATTTTGTGCAGTGGACTCCTTACCATTAATTCATCACCCAGCTGTATGCTAGCAAATTTAGAACAAAAGGCCACAGAGAAAGTTATATAAAACCCCCAAAACTTAATACAAAAACAGGTTATGCTTTCATATTTGCTAAAGAATTCTGAAACGATGAGATGAATTTAAAAATTATGAATCCTTGCACATTGGCTTTTGACACCAATTCACTGCTATGTTTGTTCTTCTGAGAATACCAGACTCCTACACTGCAGAAACTGAAGGTGGTTCCTGCTTCCAAGTTAGTTATCAAGACATATTAATAATAAACTCCTCAGTTTTGGAACTCGATTCATAAGGTAATTAATACCACCTTTTCTCACCTATTTAATTTCCATTTCCCCCTGCTCTTTCTTCTCATTAAATTAGCAGAGCTCTTTACTCTTAAAACATGCCTGTTCACAACAAGAAGTGTAACAGACTCTGGCATTCTTCTAAACAGGCGAAAAAAGAAAGACCGAACCCATAAATACAAAAAAGAACTGAGTTTGTGCTGCACCGGAAGTGGTAGATGAGGCCAACTTTTTCTAACAGTGACTTCAAATGAAGGAAAACTGGACTAAAAGGAATGAAAAGATTGTTAGGAGGAAACATGAAAAATACCTCAAATAAATAGAAGCAGAAAATGACTGACAACTCAAAGTTAGAAGAAATGGAGCTGTGCATGATACTCTGAAGCGGGCAAATGGCTTGCCTGTTAGTCAATAGGGACTAATTATAGCCAGCATACCTATGGATTCACAGTGCAGCGATTGTAAATACATAATTATCCCTGGACCTGTATACCAGTCAGTGAATCACGACTGCCTGTCGCATTACAGCAATTGATGTATTACAGGGTTACTATAAAAGAAATCACAGAAGCCCAGTATAGACGGCAGTGAAATCATAACAACGAGGTTACACATATAAATTAATAACAGTAATTCGTTGAGACTAAAACCACTGCACAATCAAAGAGTTGTTAACATTTAAACTGTTTTTCTTGCCCTTTTTCTTTTCACATTGCTTTCTTTATTACCCCCTTGAATCACTTCCCCTCCCTCCACTTCCTCATTTCCACAGTAGCTTCTCATTTTTAAAACACCTCAAATCAGTATCGTATTTCTGGCAGTACATCTGACACAAAATTTAAATGCTTTACTCTATAGCCTGGTGCATGCAAATGCCAAACAGAGGGTGGCATTGGCAATCATCTGAGGATTCCAGCCTTGGAGCATGCCCTGTGAGGCTTGTACAGCAGTGGCGAGTACCACCCCTTTCCTCGCTAGGACAAACTTCGCAGGCTGTACCCTTACGATTGTTCATAACAATAGGACTTCCTCAGCATCCCTGGGGAAACACCAGCAAACGCCTAACATTGCCATTCACTCCTGCTCCTCCTGGGCCTCAGATGATGCACTTCACATGAGGACAGAACTGTTAAATCTGTTAAAATTCAAGAACACTAGAGGTTGGAATGGAAAACAACAGGCACCGCTTTTTTTCCTCTAACCTCCAGAAGCAGTTATGAACACTTTACCCATACTGTTTCTTGCTACACAGTGCTTCCTGAAGAAACAATGCACTGTACCATTTGTCGACAAGTTTACTTGACCAAATGAATGAGCAGGCTCACATGGAAATCACAGCAAGCTCTCCTCCAACAGCAAAACACTGTTGCAGTGATGCCTTAAAATGGAAACTAAATTGCAACAGGAAGACCCTGAACTCAGTGCCAAACAGTGGCAGAGTAACGTGCAACTGAGGATGAAGAAGTAATTTCCAGAAACAAATTGGGTTATGCAGAGAGAAAGCAGGAAAGAGAATGAAAGAACTCCCCTAGCAGGGAACAGGCTGTGATTCAGTTTCCTTCAGCTGCTGACTGACAGCAAGAACAAGTGAGGCAGAGCACAGGCAGACATGGCTTCCACCCTACCTTTATGTCATTGATACTGTAATTTTGTGAGCACAACTTTTCAAAAAAATACCAGGTAGAAGACAACCCAGGTATCAGGTTTTCTAAATTATCACATTTTAGTTTGGTTTGCAGCATCTGTAGCTTTGGCAAGCCAACAATATAAATAATCCTGACTGTGCCAATATTTTATGTTTGCTACTGGCTTTTTGACACCAACAACCCTGGAGAGATATTTCCAAAGCTCATCTGACATCATTTGTGAAACAAATATGCAGACAGGAAAACAAAGACTGACAGGTTCAGCCTGGCACAGCACCAGATAGCAGAAGTTTGCTGAGTGCAACTGAAATAAACAGGTGAAGATATGCTCTTTTACCAAATTTCTACGAGACTGTGGGACAGCATAGATAATAGCTACCGCAATATGGCAGTTTTAAAAAAAAAGCCTATCTAGATCAGTTTAAAAAGTTAAGACTCATGGCCCAGATCCACAATCTACATTCATGTTTACCATCCTACTCAAATCACAAGGGTGCAACTTAGAACAAATACAGATGACAGATTCAGTTTGAGTAGTGTTCTTCAGCCTCTTCTCTCCTCACAAGCTGTTACAGTAACCACTAGTCCCATTCTAAAATTTTTACAGGTGTGGTTCAATATTGACCTAGCTTCAAATCAACTCTAATTTCACCAGAATTTATATTGTTGATCTTTCTAATGTCTGACAAAAAAATATTTTGGGGATAACACAACTGTTCACCTGTTAACCTACCGCCTAAACAACCAAAAATCCCTCCCTCTGTCTAAGACCCAATGTTAGTTTTACGCTTTTGAAGATAAAAGCAGAAAAGGAGCAGGTGTTTAACTGCAGTAAGTCCTAAGAAGCAAAGACGAAAGTACTTTCTTTGGTCATTTACCTCTTGATGAGCCTGCTCCATTTATGAAATATCTGCTATAAGATTCCTCACATAATTAAAGGGCACTTTTCCTGTGACCACAGGCACATAGGAATGTGACAAACATCCATCATTTATTCACAATTATTCTAACTGTCTTTACCCCTCTTTTGACAACTCATGGTAAGGGGAATCACATTTCGCTACAAAAAGGAACAGCAGCTTCCCAGTGGGTTTTATTTGCATATTAAGTCATCAGCTTCCAGAAGAGAATGTATGAAATATAGTTCATTTGTCCATGGGAAATACATAATGGAAGTTTAAAAAAAAAAAAGAAAAAAAAAAGAAAAATATGAGTTAAACACCAATTCTCTTAGCTTTAACTATTTTAAGAAACACCAAAACACGAAAACTCAATGGGAACACTGAAGATATGTAGGGAATGTAACTACGATTTCCAAGTCATCTTAATTCTTCCACATACATGAGAAA